ATTCGATACGATCTTATTTGTTGATTCTAGAGGATATTTCTTGTGCAATTGGAGCTCTGTTCAGAGTCCTTGCTTGCTCCCATGGCTTTAAGAGTTTTACCTATCTATTTTCTAATGTTTCTGTTTTAATGTTTAGATCTTCAATCCAATTTGATTTTAGTCTGTACCTGCTGAGAGCTATGGATCCAACATCAATAGCCTGCATATACATGGCCAGTTTTCCCAGAACCACTTGTTAAATAAGCTATCTTTTCTCCAGCATGTGTTTTTGGCCCTTTTGTTAAAGATCAAATAACTCAATATGTCTGGGGACTGTTCTGTACCCTCCATTCCAGTGGTGGTGGACCTATGCCGCGCATGCTGCAGTGAGCTGTTTGTTATCTTTGAAAGCTCTAAAAATTTCTCCATTGCCGCATTCTGTCCCATTAAGTCATAGGTCTGTTTTTGTGCCAAAACCACGCTGTTTTGAATCACTGCTGCTCTGTGGTGTAACCTGAAGTCGGGGATTGCGCTGCCTCCTGCTTTGCTCTTATTGCCTGAGATTGCTTTTGCTATTCTGGGTCTCTTCTACCTCCACATGAATTTTAGGATTGTGTTCTCGAATTCTGTGAGGAACGCTGTTGGCATTTTGATGGGGATTCCATTGAATCTAATAGTGTGGGAACGATGGCCATTCTGACAGTATTGGTTCTGCCTATCCACAAACAGAGGACATTTTTCCATTTTCTGATGTCCTCTTCAATCTCCTTTTTCAGACAACTGTAGTTTTCATTGTAGAGGTCTTGGTTAGTGAATTCCTAGGTATTTGATTTTTTTCATGCTAATGCAACTGATACTGTTTTGCTAATTTCTTTCTCATTGAGTTCATTATTGATATATATATATAAACGCTATTGATTTTTGTGTGTTGATTTTGAAATCTGCTACATTACTAAAATTGGTTATTAATTCTAAGAGCTTTTGGAAGGAGTTCTTTGGGTCTTCTATGCAGAGTGTTATGTCACTGGAAAATAATGGTAGTCTGACTTTTTCCTTTCCTATTTACTGCTTTCTCTTGCCTGATTGCTCTGGTTAATGTTTTGAGTAGTATGTTGATTTAGTAGGCTTCCTTACACACACACACACTCACACACACTGGACTTCATCTGGCAGGATTTCGGTCTGTTTTGTGTTCTGCTATACGCTGTCCTCCAGGGCCCACTGCTTCTCTGGTCCCGGTTCCCGGACCTTCAGACCAAGCCTTGAGCAGCTTCCCCTGTAGTTTCCACTCTGTCCATGCGGGGGCAGCAGAAGCCAGCGAGTCCAGCCCTCGGCCCAGGTCCACTGCGTGGACGCCTGCAGACCTCGGGGCTCAGGGCTTTCCTCCGTCATCCTCGTTCCGGTTCCGAGTCAGGCGCGGTTTTACTCGTGGCTCATCCTAGTTCCAACAGAAGTTGAGTCACGAGTTTGAAAATTTAAATAAAGCATGGGAATTACAGAAAAAAAAAAAAAAAAAAACAGCCAAGAGGCCACTGTAAAGCAAGCAGATGCGCCCGGGATAGGCTGATTGCAATACCCGAGTCACCTCAAAGGCGGACAGCAAGGAGGGCCAGCCCACTGCTCAGCAAGCAAGGGAAGTGACACAGAGCTGTCGTGTTTCTAAAAGTACAGGTCAACCAAAAGCCCCCCACTAAGCAAAACATCCCATCCTGAGCTCTAAAAATGTTGCATTTCATCTTAAGTGTGGAGTTTTAGCTGCCCCTGTAAATTTCCAGGATGAGTGTTTGACTTTGTCTGACCTTAACCTCAGGCCTGCTAGCTCCCCGCGCTAGGTAGCCCCGGGGGAATCACAAGTCACTTGTCCAAGAAACCCTGGCCGGTGTTCAACGCACCTAGAATGTTCTAGGGTAACCCTGGCAGGGACGGCCCCTCCGGCCCCTCTGGGCCACTGGTAACCTTGGGTCTGCCCCAGCTGGCACTGGCCGTGAGGTCCCTGTCAATACAGTGCTTATGTCTACTGAGCAGAACCAACAGAATCGGTTTTTTAAAAACTTGCTTTGTTGTGGTACAGATAGCGAATGGGCGAGCTGAACTCTTCAGAATGTTCTAGAATGCCCTAGAACATTCTAGGTACACTAGACACCTGGCAGGGTACCACATGTGGCCCCTAACTGTGGTCCAGTGCTACACAGCAGATCTCTCGAGCTTGTCAGTCTTGCTGGCTGGTAACTCCTATAAATAAAGGCCTGTGAAGCTGTCTCTAAGAGGGACAGCGGACACCGCACTGTAGGAATGACGCAAGGTGGGAGGAAGGTTCCAGCTCCAAAACACCTGTTATGCTGACAGAAGAGGACAAAAGCTGTGCCTGGGGTGCCCCGCGACAGAGCAGCAGTGTCCGCTGGCACAGGACAATAGCTCTGCGCCTACCGACCACAGGAGGCCACTGAGCCCTTGGAATACAGCAGTGCGGCTGAAAGACTGAGTTTCCAATGGTATTTAACTCTGATTAACTTGTGTGGCAGCTGAAACGGCCACACGCTTCTTTTTGGCCAGAACTGCACTTTTGTAGCAATTCACCAAGACGAGGAACACAAAAGGAAAGAGGGAAGGTGCCCATTATGTGTTCTCCAGGCCCAGGGAGGCTGCGGCTGCTCCTTTGGCCACCCGCGCGCCATGCCAATCCACAAGACAGGTGGTGCAATGGGCATCCGGCGGTGGGTGGGGGTTTCAGGAGGAAACTGGCAGGGTTGGCTCTGAGGAAAGCCTGGCACGAGTGAGGCCCTGGTTCCCACCCCAGAACCATCCCCCCCCCCAAAAAAAAACCCCACAAATGTTACCACTGCAAAACTGGGAGCGTTCCATGTCACTCCACACGCTGTGAGTACTGAAAACAAACACGCTAGGGGCGTGGATCTTCCCCCAAAGTTAAGGTGCTTACTGAGTGGATCGGGCCCTCCACGTGCCAAGGTAGCTTCCTGAAACCAAGCACGCACCCACGCCTCCCAGAGAAGCATCTTCCGGGAGGAGCAAGAAAGAACCTGGCCCCTTTGGCAGAACGGGCATAAACCTAAGTAAATAGATAAATAAGCCCTGGGTGGGGCCTGCATGTGACCAACGGCTCCAGGTCTGCTTCACCTGGAGAACCACCGACCTAGAAAGTATTCGGACTCCAAAGAGCTGCAGGACCCCGGACAGATCACTTTATGTCTCAGGCACTGGTATTATTTGGAAGTAAAACGGCAGACTGGGCTTTGGAGACGGTGCGGATAAGGATTCAAGGATCCGCTCTGCCATGAATTAGCTGTCTGGCCTTGAACAATTACAAAATTTCTCTCTCTGCTCCCTCTGCACCATGAAAATAATCATGCATCACAAACAGGGTCAACGCAAAGATTAACTGTGATGAAGTATAAGCTAGTGTCAACAGCACACGGCTGTAATTCCAATACTTCGGGAGACTGAGGCGGGAGGATCACAGGTTTGATCTCAGGCTGAACGACTTAAGTGACTTAGCAAGAGCCTGTCTAAAAATTAAAAACTCAAAAAAGGGCTGACAAGATAGCTCAGTGCAAAGGCCCTGGGTTCAATCCTCAGTATTGAAAGAAATCGTGGTAAGATATATGCTATTTAAGAAGTGTTGCTAAGGGCATGTCCAGTTCATAAAGTGTGTCGACTGAAATTACATACAGGAATGTGTAGCTTGCAACACTCGCAGATAAAAGCACTTTGACAATGTAATTCTGCCAGGGTTCCCTTGTGCCAGTGTTAGCGTCCCACTGGGTGTGACACACTTCCCCAAATCGAGCAACTTAAAGCAGGAGATACTGTCTCCCGGCATCTGCAGGCAGAGCCGTGGCCAGAGCACAGCCAGACGCCCGTCCCGCTGCACGGTGGTGGGGGTGAGTCTCAGCAAAGGCTCGGCTGGGGCAGGTCGGGGGGGGGGGACGCTGTTTTTCTTTTTTTAAGAATCTGTGGTAAGATGTACGTAAAATGTGCCACCTTAACCACTTCCAGTACAGTTAAATGGCATTGCATACACCCACTTACCGGCAGAAAGAACTGAGGCAAGTCGCTTAACTTTTGGTGATTCTGTTTTCCCACCTGTAAAACAGGTGGACAAGCCGTATTTAATTCAACTCGGCGTTAGGACGAACGAGTCACACGCAGGGATGCGGGCCGGGCACACAGCAGGGAGGGTCCCGGGCCCCGCCCCACCAAGGACAGTTCCTGGGTGACATGGGTGACGTCCGTTCAGCACACACTTCCACCATCAGAGAAAACAAAGGATTATTTCCTAGGGCCTTTCACCTAATTAAACTTCTGCCTTACACCGAAAGCCTTTTAAATCTGCAAATCATACGCCACGCTTATTTTGACATTTTCTTCTTTTTATTGCAAATTTCTGGTAAAGGAAAGAACAGGGAAGCGGATTCTCGTTTAACCTTTGGTGAGAAGTGTCACTGGGTGGACTCCACTGTCACTGGGCCGTGGATATGCACCGCTGCCTATGCCACCACTGGCCAGGTGGTTTGGGGGGCAGCGGGCCCCGGGCCAGTCCAGCGCAGCCAGGGTGGGGTGTCCCGCACCCGAGACACTAGCTCACAGCCCAGCACCCCCTGCTCACACCACCCCCTTGGCCAGAGTCCAGCTGGGGTCCCTCGGCCCCCTCTCCCCAGGTGTCCGGTGCTAACCCTTCCTCCTTCAGTCCCCACAGCAGAGCAATCTGGTGCAGCTGCCTGTGCCCGACCTGGAGGGCGCCGTGGAACACCCCTCTGCCACAAAGGAACCCCCTCTCTGACTGTAAGAGAGCACTACCCTCTCTCCCCCTTCACATGGAACCTCAATCTATAGAGATGAAAAACAGGAAATAGATGTTGAATGACGTGTGACGTATTCCTCATATAACCTCTCGTGTCCGAACACTTTTTAAAGTTTTTTTGTCAAGCCATCGAGAACAACGTGTGACGTACTCTAGCAGCATAGTCTATATGGGTGTAAACAGTAAGAGCCAGTGAGATGTGTCATTTGTGAGTTAGCCTAAAAATAGAAAATGCTTTTATTGTCCTGAGTCCTTGGCAAACGCAACCACAACAACAACAAAAAAGTGTTTAAAAAAAACACATTTTAAGTATTCCCGTTCCGGGGTGCCTCACAATTTTGAGCAGTGAGCTTTACTACCATTCTGCACAGGTGATGAAAGACCACAGGTTCACATTTTCAGTGGCTGATCAAATATAGAGACTGAAAATCGTCTACAAAGTATCACAAGACAGAAGTTTCTTGACGGAATTATAAATGCAATTTGTTTCTCTGTCCATACAAAAGTATGAATTGCTATTCCACTATAATAACATTGAATGATTCATGTCTTAACAGCGGTAGGTTTTAGAACATTTAAAAAATACATAGGATCCCATTTTGACATCACAATTCTGAATTATTATTATTATTATGCCTCTCTTGTCGGCAGATTTTATAGGGTAGAGTGCACTGACGTGGTCAGACCAAGGCACAAGAATACAGTTACGATAAATGTGTATAAACCCTGGCACTGTGTGCCAATTTTGGAAACATTTAGAGAAGTCATAAAGTCTGGAAAATTCTCACATTCTATCATGATTAATGAACAATTAATTGTGCAATCAACAAACGGTTACCCACCATTCCATTAGTAAATATATGGCTATCACTATACAAGTTGTGGCTAATTAAAAAATAGCTTTAAATATTAAAACCTGGTATATCTAGGTGGATGTAAATATTGTGCCTTGTAGTACCCAGAATGTCTTAGATTTCCATTTAATTTCCAACCTATATGGCAGTTATCTGTTGTAAATCTATTTTCATTACAGAAATGTCAGGGCTTTTTTTCCCAAGTGTTAAATCTCTTCCCCTTAGAAAAGACAAGACTGACAGGAAGACAATCAATATAAGAAACACACAGGTAACAGTAATAAAACCCAGATGTGGACTCGAAGGCTGAATTCTACTCTCTCGGGACAGCCCCCTGATGGAGAATGTGGAGCAGCATGCTCCTGGGACAACTCATTAGTTTCTTAATTTAAAAAAATCACCATGACATTTTTCAAAATGTTAAACAGTCTTGGTTAGAGCGTTGAGCATTGAAAAAAATTAAGTCTTTTCATTCATAAAATGAAGAAGATAAAAGCTTTTCCGGGGCGGGGGTGTCCACTGAATTTAGGGAAGTAAAATAAAGTGGGAAAACCGTATTTAATATGCTGAAGAAAGAGCGAGTCCGAGACCCACGGTGGATGTCCAGACCCATGGAAACGCGTCTCCCGGCACATGCACACCGGCCGCACGGCCCTGGGCAGCGCTGGCCTGGCCTCGGGAGCCCGGGCCCCGGGCCCAGGCGACACCTCCTCAGGTCGGGGCGCAGCCCGGTCACAGGGGGGCTTCTGGCTTCTGCATCTGCAGGATTTGCTTCTGCAGCTGGTCCCTGTCCAGCTTCATCTTGGCCTCAAGCACTTGCCGGAGGGAGCCGATGCTCTCGTAGATGGCCGTGAACCCTGGGAGGAGAGGTCAGTTTGCAGGGGTTAGTGCTTTCACCGCATCGCGGAGTCCGACTCTACAGAACACGGTAGTGAGGGGCTTCCGACGGAAACTGCGGCTGTTAAAACTCCAGGGGTGGAAGTCTCACGAGGGACAAGGGATCACACAGCTAGCTGCACAGCGCCTCCCTGGAAATCGCTTTCTCGTTACTAAGGGGAGAGGAAGTGTTACAGTGGGGAAGTCCGGCAGACACAACCTTAACCCAGCCATGGAAGCTCACGTCCCAACCCTGGGGAAGCCAGCGGCACTACTTTCAGGTAAGGTCCCGGGCCAGCCCTACGTCCCTGCGTCCAAACTCCATCGGGAGGAGGGGGCTGGGCCCAACCCGGGGCACAGTCTGCGGCGGCCTGGCCCGCGCTCATTCCAAATGTCAGGATCACTGAGGAACTGACCCAGATCAAACGAGACTGAATAAGAAACACGGCAACTAAACAGGATGACACCAGAACAGACCCTGGATGGCCAACGAGCATGCAAGAAGGAGGCAGACCTCACTAATCATCAAGGAAATACTGATCAGTAGCTGATGTGGTAGCGCACGCCTATAATCCCGCCCCTCTGGAGGCTGAGGCAGGAGGATCACTGTGAGTTTGAGGCCAGCCTGGGCTACATAGTGAGTTCAAGGCCAGGCTGCACTAATCCTGTCTCAAAAAACAATTTAAAAAATTATGAAGGATGAAGAAGTATAGGAACTAGTATACAACACTAGACAAGGGCTATAATCAATCATACTGTGTCGCCTTGGGGATTCTTCTAAAAGCGGAGATTTGAGGAGCTCTTGCAACACAAATACATGCAAACACACAAAAGGGTAATTATGTGACACGTCTATGTTAATTTACTTGAATATAATTACCATCTCATTATATAGGTATACCAAGATGGCTTATATATCTTCAATACACAGCATTAAAATTTTTTTGTTTAAAAAATGTTTGATTAGGAAAAAAGAAAAGAAAAAACACAGACTGCTGAAGGTTTACTGAAAAGGCACAATGAATGCAGAATACTGACCGTGGAAAAACGTTTCATCTGAGTCACACGGCCCTGGAGTCACTCGGGGAACGTCCCATTCTTACAGAAAATGCATTTCAATAATAAAGGGGTAAAATGGCATCATGACTTTGGCAACTTGCAAATGATGCAGAAAAAAAACTATTTTTTTTAAACTAGTTTAAAAAAAATAGCCAGGCGTGGTGGCGCACCCCCGTAATCCTAGCACTCAGGAGGCTGAGGCAGGAGGATCGCCTGAGTTTGAGACCAACCTGGACTACAAAGTGAGCTCAAGGCCAGCCTGAACTGCATAGTGAGACCCTGCCTCAAAAAGACCAAAAAAAAAAAAAAAAAAACTGTACAAATTACTCATTAAAATTTTTTTTGCTGACACAGAAAGGTACAATAATTACTAAATAAGATAGCAGGTTATAAACCAGTATTTAATTCCAGCACTCAGCAGGAGGATCACCTAGAACTCAAGGCCAGCCTGAGCTACACAGCGAGACTGTCTCAGAAAGACAAACCAACCAACCAACCAACAAACCCGTATGTAAGTATGAACATTTACATTGGCAAAACCATATATAGAAAATATACATAAAAATGACCTCTGAGTGAGAGAAGCTATATTTTAAAATTATTCTGTGCTTTATGATATTCCGCTAAGAAATGTGTTATCTTTGTAATAAAAAGAATTTTTAATTCTACAAAGGTTCGTGTACATTTTCTATTAGGTACTAAATATTAACAACCTCAACAGTAGTTGAATAAAGGACAATAATCATTCAGAAAATGCGCTGCTGAACATGGACGACATACTCAAATGTCATAGTCCAACAGCCCCGAAACCAAGGAAGAAAATTCATTTTTATCTTTACAAGTTCTCCTGTTCGAAAAGTTTCATTATAACTTCTAAATACAGGAAACTTTTGGTGATAACAACAAAATGATTCCTAGAATAGCTGCTTTTATTTCCACGTAGCTAAAATGGGACAACAGGGCATGAAGAACTCACGGCATAAGAAACTGGAGAGCTGGGACATAGCTGAGAACCCTTTCTCGGCAAGACCACATTCTTCTTCCTGACCAGACCAACCAGACTCCCCCAGAATCCTTTTGCTTTTTGAGACAAGGTCTTGCTATGTAGTTCAGGCTGGCCTTGGGCTCACTATGTAGCCCAGGCTGGCCTCAAGCTCACGGCTATCCTCCTGCCTCAGCCTCCCAAGAGCTGGGATTACAGGCGTGCGCCACCACGACATGCAGCCCCAAGAAGCCGTTCAGTAACAAAGGGCTCTGGGTCTCACAAAACCATCGGTGTCTTTAGGAGCCATAAACTGTAAACTATTTTTGCGTGAGTTAAAAATTGGTCTTCGGGTAACTTCTTCCACTTCTTGGTCCCAGTTCTACATCCTGAATTCAGAGTGCTTGGCCCTCTGCTCAGATCTGAAGGTCTGCTCTAAAGCCCAGGGTGAAATTTAGTTGCCACTGTAGCAGTATGAAGAGGGAGGATCTTTACAAGGCGATGAGCCAGCCCTCTGGGAGGCAGAGGCAGGAGGATTGCAAGTTTGAGCCCAGGCTGGGCAGCTTAATGACTTAGGGAGACCCTGTCTCAAAATAAAAAATAGTAAAAGGGCTGGGGACTTGGCTCAGTGCAAAGGCCCTGAGTTCACCCTCCAGGACTGAAAAAGGAAAGAGGCAAGAGGTCACGAGGGAATGGCGCATCAAGGTCCTCAGCTGAGCATGGACTGCCAAGAAAAGCGCGAGGCTGGCCTGGGTCTCCTCCCCCGTGTGTGTTGGCCTCCCGGCCACAGGGCACCGCTGCAGCAACAGGGCCCGCTGAGAGGCCTCCGACACCTGCTGGCGCTCCGTGCTGAGAGGTAAACCTCTGTGCTTTAGAAAGGGTCCGACCTCGGGCACCGCGAGACAGCCGCAGAACACGGACTGAGACGCCCCCTCGACGTGGCAGCACAGAGCCCTGGGGATGCGCTCCGAGCTTCTGGGGGCAAGCCCAGGGCCTTGGGCACCTCCGTGCCAAGGGGACCCAGCCATGCCCAGGATGGCACGTGGGCTGCAGTCTAAAACAGGCCCTCAGACGCCACTCACAGACAGGGCTCGCTTCTGAGATAGTGCCCTTGCCTATCAGCAGGGAAGCGCCCGCGGAGGGTACGAAAGAAAGAGCCCCTCAGCTGCAAGCTAAGCCATGTCAGTCTGGTTTTCCTCACAGGCTTCGAACTCAAGGAGCGTGTTAACAGACACAGCTGATAGGAGTACTGAAGACCACCCACTGTGGTCACCACTCCACTGCCTCCTCAGCTAGTGAGGCCACAGGATCGATTCCTAGCCAGCATGATATGTATCTGCAACAGCTTCCAGGAGGAGTTAAAAGACAGCTGGTGTCTACTGTCATTTCTCCCTTCTCTTCTGTTTCTAGAACTCAGTCGATGGCTGGTGCTCCAGCAGCCATACTGAACTGTGAGGAGGACTGTGGTTACTGCAGGTGTGTTAGGGGTCCTAATTAACGGGTTAGAGAAACAACAGACAATAAAGCACGGGGGCTGTCGCTGGGTTTGGCCTACCGGCGTTGACTTCTGCTTTCATTTCCTGCAAGCCTTCCTGCATCTGCAGCTCCAGCCTGCTGATCCGCCCGTGCACCTTGTCCTCCTCCTGCTTGGCCCTCGGACCCTCCAGGTTCTTCTTCTGCGTCTCCTCCAGCTTGTCCAGCCTGGCTGACAACTGGCCGAGCTTCTCCATGTCCCTTTCGCTGGCTGCCTGAGGACCAGGAGGAGAACCACAGCTCATTACCCTGAAGACAAACTGCATTCAATTTCGGCCTTCCCTTACACCACAGTACGTGGGGGACAGAACCACAGGGGCTGCTTGCTGCCCACTTCAATGTCTTTCTCAGTTGCTTCTGTCTCAACAGATGCCCGATTTTCAGCTCAGCAAAAGCACATCCAAATACAAACCACGTTTTCCAGTCTCCTCAGCCTCACAGAACACTGGTTTAACACGTGTGTGACCATTATAGGAGTAATTTCTGGCCAATGGGATGTTAGTGTATGTGACAGCTTCCAGGAAAAGTTACAAGACAGCTGATATTTACCTTCATTTCTTTCTTTTTCCTCTGTTTCTAGAATTCAGTTAATGGCTGGAGCTCCAGCAGCCATTTTGAACTGTGAGGATGTTAATTACTCCCTGGTGTTGGTATCGAGTGAAATTAAAAGGCCCCTGAGTCAGTCCTGCATGGCCCACACCCAGACTTCTTTTCCATGAGAGAAACGTTTCTCTCTTGTTAAAGTCACTATTATCTTGGGGTTTCCTGTTGGTTACTAAACTAATCTACATACAAAAATGAACAGTGTCCCAAAGACTTAAAACCATTAATATTTTAGTGTACATCTCAGTAAAGTAATCAGTAGACCTGATAAAGATATGGGGAATATCCATAAGTAGTTAAAGGATTTCCTTTCTGCCACGCTTGGTTTTATGCAACTGTGTGTCTGCGGGCAAGCTTGGGGGCAGGAGTGAGCCCCAAGCTGTGAGCAGCGCAGTGCAGCAAAGTTTTCTCCCAAGGGCTCCCAGGGCTGGGTCTGCAGCTCCGCAGCTCGGCGCCTGGGGCAGCGGAGTCGGCGACGCGGAGCACACCCGCCTTGCAGGAGGGGGTGGTACAGGAGAAAAAGGAGGCGCGGCGGTCACGCCGAATAACCCAAACCAACCAAACTGGCTGGCCAGGCACAGGCCCGGAGCCTGCTGGTTTTGAGTGTGATACACGCGAGGCTGGCTTGAGAAGGGGCTCAGCACCGTCTGCAAACCTTCGCTCCGTGAGAGGCAGGGAACAGCGGGCAGAGAGGGGAGGTAGCCTTGCCTCCTGCTGCTGCTGCACGCTGGGGTTCCGGGCGGCTGCAGGGAGTCTGCAGGGAGAGATCTGCTCAACACTGATCACGAAATTAAAACAGGCCCTGGGTCAAGCTGATGACCATTCATTTTATGTAGAAATGCAAATGGATAAACTTGCATCTTTAAGAGCGTGACTTAAATTTATCTTTATGGAAAGTAATGAAAAATGCTATTTAGCCTTTTGAACCAAAAGAAATCAAAGTGTTCCATGTCTTTATAAAGAATATAAAGCCGGGCGTGGTGGTGCACGCCTGTAACCTCAGCACTCAGGAGGCTGAGGCAGGAGGATCTCAGCAAGGTCGAGGCCAGCCTGGGCTAGATAGTGAGCTCCTGTCTTGAAACAAAGGAAAAATGCAAAGAATAAAAGCTGGAGATGTGCTCAGTGGTCAAATACAGGCTTTACATATGTAAGACCCAAGACTTGATCCTCAAAAAAAAAATATATATATATATAGAGAGAGACAGACAGACAGACAGACAGAGAGACAGAGACAGAGAGAAAGACAGACAGAGAGACAGAGAGGGAGAACATGAACCAGACAAATGGATTCCAGGCAAGAAACAACTGGACAGCTCCATGTGATACCAAATACATTCGTCAAACGCTGCAGACCTCTCCCGAGTAACTATTAAACAACAGCTGAACAGCAATACCTACACTGTTTTCCTTAAGAGCCACGGAAAGCTGGTCAATTCTCTGTAGAAGTTCTTTTTCTACCCGTTCTTGTTCCTGTTGCAACCAGCTCCGGGCAGATAAAATCTGGTTACTGAGCTCCTCCACGGTGCCTTTAAATCTGGAAGACAGTAAATGAACACGGCGGGTGTGGAACAGCCTCTCCGACGTGGCTCTCACAAACAGGCGGCATTGAGCTCGCGCACGCGCTCACCCTTTCCTGGCCTCACGCTCAGCACTCAGCGGGGCAGGGCAGCAGGACACACGACACAGCGGCACCTGGGGACGCCGCCCCCAAGGCCTGCGGGTGGGCGCTGAGTGACCGAGACACAGCGCGGCCTTCGTGGTTCTGGGGCCCACGGTGCCCCTCACTCCCTGGACTATGTGTCCCTCATTTCTTCCCGCAAGTCCCCTCCTTCCCTGGTTCCCGTCCCTTTTATCTCCCAGGACGGCAGCCCGGCTCCTGGATTCTCTCTTGTTCCCCAAACTCCTCCTGCCCCACAGGGACACATCCTGATTTTATCAGGAAGAAAATTTTTTTAATGTAACAACCCTCCCTAACTTCCATTCCTCTAGTTCTCTCTCCCATATTCCTTGAAAGAATTATACATAGGTGCAACCTCTGCCTTGTCACTCTTTCTCGTTTTTATTATATGTAATAAAATTACAGAAAAATCTATGTGGGACAGATATACGATTTCAATAATACTAACCTGGACATCCACTGGGGTAGAGTCCCTAGTTACCCAGCAATGGCCGCTCTCTTATTCCCTGTAAAAAGCCCTCAAGTATCAACCAGCCAGAGACCTTGTTTCCCGGCCTCCCTTGCAGCTAGGTGCGGACACACACATCGGTCAGGCAAGGGGACGTGTGTGGAAGTGACAGAGCACACTTCTGGCCACATCCTTAGAGACTGAAGTTTTGCCCTGGACTCTCCCCCTGCCCCAGCACTGGAGGACAGGGACCCGAGCAGCGCAGGGCTGTTGGTGCCGCCCTGCTGGCCTGGGAACGTGACCTCACCACTGTTACGGTATGGCAGTCACAGCACCGGGGCTAGACTCTACCCAAACCAACGCAGCTGCGTCCTCTCAGCCTGAGACTAGACCCCCACAGGGCTTGACCCCAGCCCCAGGACGTAAGCACCACCCAGAATTTCCCGTTCTTTGTCAGGACTCTGTAAGGGCTCTCGTGGTCACAGCAGGCTTGCGGGGATGATACAGCGTACCTGCCCACGGCTCAAGCACACCTGCAAAGGCTGCGACTACCATATAAGGCAACTGTTCGCACGTTCCAGCCATGAGGAGGCGGAGATACTTGGGGGATCGCTGTTCAGTCTACCAGAACCACATATCTGCCAAAGCCCTTACCACTATCAACAGTAACACAGCACATGACTATGTACGTCCTTATTGGTCTACTTACGGCCAGTGGCGCCTTATACTGTAAACGCCGTGAGGATCAGAGCAGCCTGGCTTCTGCTCATCACGAACAGTACGCAGAGCAGTGCACACTCACAGCACTGCAGAGCCCCTCACCAGTGACCCGCAAATACGGGGAGCGACCAACAAATAGGGAGAGCGTTTCCACCGTAAGATACTACAGCGGAAGACACACTTCCGAGAACGCCCTCACAGAACTCCCCCGTGCTCTGAACACTTGTCCCACCACTCCGGCCACTTTCTGGAGCAGCTCTGGAGTCCTCTTTCGTGAATGTCGTCCGGTCTGCCTCGATGTCCTGAATCGATTCAGAACGTTTACCTCTCACAGTCTCTTCTGACTCTGGGGAAGAGCCAGGAGTTTCACGCGGCCAGATCCAACGAATAAGGCAGAGGAGGACGCTCTGTCATGTTTTTATTTGACAGAAATTGATGCAAACATTTTCAATTAGTTTGACATCAAGGCAGCCGTGAAAAGATACAATAGAGGACTTCAGAACTGCTTCGAAAAGTGGAAACAGTGATGGGGTAGGTGCATTTGAAGCAAAGGGAAGATTTTAAGAGGGATTAATGAAGCCGGGCGCCACGCCTGTAATCCCAGCACTTGGGAGGCTGAGGCAGGAGGATCATTGCGAGTTAAAAACCAGCCTGGGCGACAAAGTGAGCTCAAAGCCAGCCTGAACTGCACAACAAGACTCTGTCTCAAAAAGACAAAAACAAAAAAACAAGAGGGATTAATGATAACGTGTCTTTCACCCTAATAAATTTTAAAAATTGAAATAGTCATCTTTTTGTCAGAATACACATATAAAAGACATAAATAATAATCCAATCATTAAAAATAGTAATTATGAAGGAACAGTGACAACAGGCCACATGGGAACTTTTGCTTTTAACTTCCGTGATGGTTTTCATCGTGTTATAATAGATTAAAAAAAAACAACAACAACAAGCAAAGACAGGCAGTACTGCATAAGTCCAGAAAGAACTTCAACTAAAAGCTTTTTTCGAAAAGCTCGAGACTTACTTCGTATCTAAAAGCTGGAGCTGGTGGTTACTGTCTCTGTGAGACATCTTCAGTTTGGTGCTCTGCTCTGACATGGACAAATCCACTCTGTTCAGAAGCTGAGAAATCTGGAAAAGAAGGCTCACTCTCAGGCAGAGCTCCAGAACACACCTCCTAGGCTACATGCCAGTCAGCGGCGTTAAGACGCAAGCCTCTAGGAGTTCGCCTCATCCTCTGACCTCTGCGCTTTTTTCTTACACACCCACTGAAAATCAAGACCGGCAACACTGCCAAAATACTGACCCCAGCCCAAGTGCTGAACCGTTAGGCTCTGTAATGAGCAAACCCAACAGCAGCCCCAAAATGGAGTCTGCTGACCACAACCCTCCAGGGACCTTACAGAAACATCTGCCAGTGAGCTTGGGCTGTCTGGGACACCCCCAGAGCATGATTAGGCAGGACACCGGCTCTGCACGGGCAATGGGTGAAAACCCCAAAGACTCAACCCTAAGACATATGTAGTCTGCTGGGCGTGGTGGCACACGCCTGCAATCCCAGCACTTGGGAGGCTGAGGCAGGAGGATCGCTGTGAGTTCAAGACCAGCCTGGGCTATAAAGTGAGCTCAAGGCCAGCCTGAACTGCATACTGAGACCCTGTCTCAAAAAAACAAAAAAGACAGAAATATGTAGTCTCCTATAGGGTAGAGATTATATTGCTCACACAATGGCCCAAGCCCCCTTAAGAATCCCTAGACAAAGACTCTCCTGGGTAACTCAGAAGCCCCTCCTGGCTAACACGAGCTTTATTTCCTTGCCGTTGTACTTTTTACTTTCTTTCCATCTTTTAAATAAATTTTACCTCCTCTGTCCGTGATTTCATTCTTCGTCACCGTGAAATAGGACCCTGGCGTGCAGATAACACCATTACCTACCTGTTGGTCCTTGTCTTTTCACTAAAATGTAATATAAAACTAGTCCCGTGCAATGCTCATATGTTTTCAAAAATGATAATGTACAACATTCCTCCCTTAAAAATTCACCATTCTTTTCAGATCCAGAACAACTATAGAAACAATAAAGTGTGTCTGCTTTACTGAATTTCTGGGTTTTACTTGGCTTGGATGCCAGCAAGCTTAAGATTTCCTTCACTTCTATTTTCTGGTGTAATCATTTCATCCACATTCATTCTTCAAAATTATTTTTGAGAAAGCAGTGGACTTGTCTTTTCATTCTTTGTTTCATAGCTTAGTAACATCTACGTTTTTCACACACAAGCAACTCCAGATCTTAGCCGGACACCGCGGACAAGCGTGTTCAATCTGATAAACGGACCACAAGCGCCAGTATTTTTCGAGAACAGTCTCTCCGTAAGTGAAGAACTGAAATAAGGCCGGTAACGTAGGACAAGCCCTGCAAGACCCATCCTGTTATGATAAAGGGAAACTTGTACAAGGCCCCAAATCAAACCGAGAGACCAAATTTCACTCCGGGAAATCAGTCTGTGAATTTCGAGGTAGAAATCCGCACATTCACTAGGCAGCGCCCCGGGAGCGCTCCTGCTTTTGTAGCCATCACACGCCGACAGCGCAAGGGGACAGCGCCGGCAGTGTGCCCCGGTACGCAGCCTGTTCCGGAGTCAGACCGGGGCGAGCAGCAGGCAGCAGAACACACACCGGCTTACCTGGGCAACAGGAAGGTTTTATTTTGTTTTGTTTTGGGTACCGGGGACTGAACACAGGGCCTTTGCACTGAGGCCTTTTTTATTTTTTATTTTAAGACAGTCTCTTGCTAAGCGGCTGAACTGCTTGGGTTGGACTTGAATTTGCAACCCTCCAGCCTCAGCCTCCCAGAGTGCTGGGGTTACAGGCATGCACCACCGTGACCAGCAGTTTAGAATCTCTAGAACATATTAATCATTTTAAGAATGAGTGGGAAGAGCCTTTCAATTAGGGCTGTACCAAAAAAACATTGTGCTTTGGTCGCCAGATGCAGGAAGGACCACTTCAGCGAAGTGGAGAAGGAAGAAACAAAGAAATGCTTCTGATTTGCCTAAACCTGTGCTGGGGCCCCAGCTAATTTCCCCTGCAAGAAATAACACCGCAGCTAAAGGAACTCACCCACTGTTACAGGCTACCTAACACAGGGCCTACCTGGCCTTCCGCATCCCTGATTTTCGTTTCCAGGATCAGCTTGGCAGCTTGCTGCTCTTTGTTCAGGTGCTGGAGGCCCTCGTAGGTCGTTTTGTGCTCTGCGGAGAGTCTGGCGATGCTGGCGTCACATCTGTCAAGGCAAACAACGAAGCTCCCTCTTATAAAAGTTTTAAAACATGTGCAGAAGCTTCCTCACGCCCTATGAAATGCGAGGCCCAGCTCAGAGAGACTGCACCAACAACCGCATCTTTCAAGGACAGCCTGAGCGCATTCTGAGAGCTTCCCTGGCTTATTCGCCAGCACCGAGGGAGAATTATTTCAGGAATGCAAGTCTGGTTTAATCCCAGAAAACTGGGATTAATAATATAGCACATCAGCAGAAAAACGGGTAAAAACCACACAATCATCTCAATAGGTGAAGAAAAAAACACCGAATAAAATCCATCCTTCTTCATGATTTAAAAAAAAAGTCGGCAAACTAGAAATAGAAAGGAAGTTGCTGGACCTCATAAGGAACAAACACAAAAACGCCACAGCTGAACACGAGCTTCACGGTGCGAGACTGAAGCTTCCCCTACACTCAGGAGCAAGACAAGGATATCCACTCTCACCATGTCCACTCAGCACCCTCGCTGAGGTTCTAGGCAGAGCATCTCGGCAAGAAAAAGAAATCAAAGCCATCCAGACAGAGAAGGAAGGAGTACAGCTACCGCTGCACGCCAATGTCATGACCCTGTAGATACAACTTCAGAGAATCAAAGGAAATGTACTAAACATTAGTGGAACTCACGAACTGGTTTACCAAAACTGCAGAACAGAAGACCAGAATACAAAAACCAATAGTTCTGCTACACAAGGACGGGCTGATTGGGGCTGGCATTTCTGATCTCTAGTTTCCAGGTCTCATTTTCAGGGAAGTGGGGCACTAAGGGAATATAAAGCACAGCCACAATGACATACTCTTCAGACCTACTAGGAAGAAGGGCTGTGCTGAAAACGACAGACACAAGCACTGGCAAAGCTGTGGAAAACTCTGAAGCATGACACAGCGCAGGTGCCAGGGTAAAATGGTGCCGTCACTTTGGAAAATAGTCTAGCTGTTCTGTTTCCCAAAGGTTAAATAGAAAGTCACTCTGTCACCCAGTATTTCCACTCTAGAAATGACCACATAAAAACTTGTTCACAAATATTCACAGCAGCATTACTATGTGTGTGTGTGAGTGAGTGTGTGTGTGTGTGTTTGAGACAGGGTCTCACTATGCAGTTCAGGCTGGCCTTGAACTCTCTTTGTAGCCCAGCTGGCCTCAAACTCACAGCGATCCTCCTGCCTCAGCCTCTCAAGTGCTGGGATAACAGGCATGTGCCACCACGCCTGGCCCGTGTAGCAGCATTATTTATAAGAATCAAAAAATAAATACAATCCAAGTACTCAACTGATGTATAAATAAAGTATGGTATACAGTAAGATATTACTCAGCCATGAATAGGAATGAAGAACTGATACATGGTACAACACTGACAATCCCTGAAAACGTGCTAAGTGTAGGAGCCAGTCTCAGGAGCGCATGTGTGCTACGACTTCATTTGCATTCCTAGGGCGGCAAATCCATGACAGACAGGAAGTATCTGGTGGTTGCCAAGGACTGGGAGACTGGGCCAGGGGGATGGGGAGTGATGCTGAGGGCTGTGTGGTTTGTTTCTGAATAGTACGAATGTTTTAAGGAGAGTTGAGAGACTTACACAACTGTGTGCGTACACAGAGAGCCACTGGGTACCGAGGCTCTAAATAGGTGACTCATAAGTGTGAATGATCTCACTAGAGCTCTTCATTAAGAGAAAGAGATGAGAGAGACAGAGAGAGAGAGGGAGACAGACAGAGAGAGAGACAGACACACAGACAGACAGAGACAGACACAGACAGGGAAACCTAGCGCGATCTCCAGGAAGCATGCCTGCTGGGTCTTCAGAGCTGCTGGGCCGTTTGTAAGGCCCCCCAGTAATATTCTACTCCAACTTCCAGCAAGCACCTGGGAAAGACCTTAGACACCTCCTCAGCACGCAGACACTTTTCCCCTAAAGCTGTTGCCACGCGTCCAACCTCACAGAGGAAAGAAGCAGCAGTCGCCGAGGCCTGGACAGATGAGGGCGATCTGCGGAGAGTGGGCCTCGTATTCTGGTCGAAATGGTTGAAACCGGAAAACCGAACCTCTTGAGCTGTGCTTAGGGAGAAAGGAGAAGCCCCGCTCAGTCCCGTTCAGGGTGTGTTATGCTGAGCGGGTAAAACCGGGGAGAGCTCTCTGAGCTGGATTTACAGGCCGGGAAATCCAAGGTTTGTCCTCTGTTCACTATGTCACAAGTGGGGCCGCAGAAACTCTCAAAGTAAACGTGCGACAGTACAGCAGCTTGGTGATTTCGGACTATCACTGAGAGACCTCAGGCCCCTTCAAAAGAGCTACGTAATCAGTGCAGGAAAGTCAGAACTTTGCCAGGGAATTTTTATTTCACGTGAATCCATTTCAACAAGGCCTCCTTAGCATTCCAAGGGAAAGACAAACATAGGCACAAGACGAAGCAAAAATAGCTGGTGCTCATAACGAGCGTTTCTGACGAGCTAGAATGAAAGCGTTTGTGTTGGGACAGAATCAAGTTGGGTAGACAAACTGATAAGGAAGTGCAGAGTCCGCAAGGTTCCTGGAGGGGTTTCCCGGGAATTTCTCTACCGGGAGACACAGCATCAGAAAGACAATTCCAACCCCCACAGCGGCCCTGAGATGCCAATGCCTCCACCTACTGCAAGCCCACTGGTGCCACGTGGCGTGGGTATGAATTTCCCCTCGCTTAATCTTTTCCTGCAATTCGAGAGGTCATGAAGAGCCTCCAAGCTTGCCCCAAGGCCCCCCACGCCCTGCGGCTCTCCGGAGTTGCCAACTCCTGTCTGTCCCGACCGCTAGCACCGGGCTGGGGTTTCTTTCCAGCCAAACCCCAGGAACAAGGAGCCCAGTCTGTCCGCTGCACCACGGGATGTTTCGGGATCACTCATTCGCTGAGGGTCTGCTGTCCTCCGGAGACCACTGCAGACACTCGGCCACACAGGGCAACCACCGGGCGCCCAGCCCAAGATCGCGAGGGCGCAGGGTGAGGTGGACACGGGGCCGAGGGAGTCGGGCAGAGCGGGTCTCAGGACAGGCGCCGGGGGCCATCCGAGCTCAACTTTGTGGCTGGAGAGACGCCAGCAGAGGAGGACAGGCTCAGGGGACTGGAGCAGCCCGTGCAACCACACAGCGGCAGGAGAACGGGTCGAAGGGCTGAAGACGGCACGGCGCCCACACAAATACGCCCCAAAGCGGCCCCTGTGCTCCGAGAGGCTCTGCCCCGGGGGTCCCTGCCTCCCCCTCCCCGCCTCTCTCAGGCCCATAGGTGCCCAGGCCCCTGCAGGGGCCCGTCCCTGTGCTTGGCTCCCGTGGGCAGCAGAGGGCAGAAGAGGCCCCATGTGGACACCGGTCGTGGTCGCAGCCCCCGCAGGGCCCCGCAAGCTTGACGGCTGAGACCCAGCAGAAGGAGGTGGCCCCGAGCCTGCACCTGCTCACAGCCCCGGCCCAGGCCGCAGGGTCCCGAGAGCGCGGGGCAGAAGACAGCACCGTCACCCTGTCCAAGGGGAACAATCTCCTTCTAAAGACTTTCACCTGATCAAAAGCCCAAAACTTTCAGAAAATGAAGACAAATTACGAGAACCACACAGAAAGGCACACAGATGAAAGCCCCAGCTCTGCATTATTTGAGAGACGCACGACCTTAGCCAACGGCATGTGTGGGTCAGTGCCGAGGACAAGGAGCAGGTGGCAGCCCGGAATCTGGGCTCCCTGAGGGCCGCCCCATCACCCACCACTCACCACCCAGGGTGGGGACCGCAGCCGCCGAGCACCCACCTCGCCACTCTCCCGCGGAGGTCCCCCAGCCCCGACAGCTGCCGCAGCTCCAGGGTCTTCAGGGCAGAGTTCGTCCCGTAGCTGATGTTGTCCCTGGCGCGGATCTGCTCCTGCAGGACCTGTGGACACAGGGCCGAGGGGTCACAGCGGACGGACAACTGCTTCACCCATGTTTTCCCTAAGAGACTCCTCTTAACAGTCACCTGATAAACAAGTACACAGAGAACCAGGGAGAGGGAGACACGGGGGTGGGGGACAGGGACAGCAGAGAGAGACAGACACAGACAGACAGAGACAGGAGAGACAGAGGCAGGCAGAGAAGACAGAAAGAGACAGAGACAGAGACACAAGGGAAGGGAAGGGGAGCGGAGGGGAGCTGCCACCCGCTCCTTTTGAGGGGAGGGGCGGGAAGGGACTGATTTTAGAGACCACTCCAGACTAAGTGTGTGAATTTTCCAATGCAAACTAAACACTTTGCTTTTATTACTTCTCCTTAATCCTAAGGCACTGAAGTCTCGTAGCTTGCCCCTCGGCTGTGTGAAGCGGGCTTCTCCCCACCCTGCGTGTGTGTTCTGATGCTTCCTTTCTTACTGTTTTCATTTCAGTTCTGAATTCCTCTATGGTCTAAGACTATCTAGGTATCTAAGGATTGTTCAGCATTATTTAGAATTTTGTGTCGTGTTGAAGCAGTTAAGTTTCGTGGTTACTGTTATTAATTCTCATGATACCGGCTTCATGATAAATACGGTCTATAACATTTAATATTTTGAGTATGTCCAGGTTTGCTTTGTATCACATGATTGATTTTTTTCTTGATGGTGGCGGGGATTGAAACCAAGGCTTTTGCACTGAGCTACCTACTCCAGCCATTTTTAATTTTTTATTTTGAGACAGGGTCTTGCTAAATTGCCCAGACTGAGCTTGGAATGTGGGATCCTCCTGCCTCAGCCTCTCGAGTAGCTGGGATTACAGGCATGGGCCACCATACTCAGCAGACCTTATTTATTTTGCCTACTGCATCCCCGCAGCTGTGGAAGAGGAACGATGACTTGCCCCACTGTCAGACATGTTTACCAACCTCCCCGCTTAGCTGCCGCTTCCTCTGGTACAAAGGAGTCGTGGTACAGAGCTTGCTGCCGTCATATAATAGCCCGTTTACCCTGTTCACCACCTACCTGATGCTAACACTGCTACTACGTTTGAGACACAACGAGGCAGAAACCCGCTTCGTGTTAACCGCCTCACACACTGGCATGGTCAGCACACTGCAGTACTAACTCGCTGAATCTCCAGCTGAAAGCTGCACCATTAGCGAGTGGCAGCGCCGGGATTCGAACCCAGGGTGTCTGGCTCTGTAGAAGATGCTCCTAACTGCAACCCTGCACTACTTTGTGTATCCAAGTGTCCCTTGTCTGGCTTCATGTTCTCAGCGGGTGTGGCTTTGCTGCTGTCCTGCCTTCCTGCCCTGAGACTGGCTTGACCTGGCTGCCGCGGACTCCCTGTCTCCCCTGTTGCCTGGGGAACGTCTTCGCCTCCTCCTCAGGCGACCCATGAGCGGCCATCTTGCCTGTCCATTCCAGGGCCCCCCCAATAAGGACGCTCAGCACACCTGCATGGCACGCACCTCCCTCTTCTCTTTTATGGTCCTGGGGACTGAACCCAGCACCCTCATCCCTTATGTTTTATCTTGAGACAGGGTCTCTGTAAGTTACTAAATTATTTAGACTCGCCTCAAACTTGCCTGCCTCAGCCTCCAAAGTGCCATTACAGGTGTGCACCCACACACCTGGCCCTCCTTCACCGCTCAACCTTGGGAGACTGACCTGCAGAGAACTTGCTTTGCTCCCCGCCCCCTATAACTAGGCTTTGCTAAAATACCTTCATACTTCTAGTTGGGCTACAATTAGAATTCTGCCTGCAGAATGTCTTATATTTCAGTGATTTTTGGTTTTTACTTTTTAAGACTTTGGTTAGACAGTCCAGGTATTTACAATATCTATTTATACAAAATCACGTAGATCTTTTTTTTTTGAGTCAGGGTCTCACTGAGTAGTTCAGGATGGCCTTAAACTCACGTATGCAGCCCAGGCTGGCCTCAAATTCACAGTGATGCTCCTGCCTCAGCCTCCTGAGAGCTGGGATTATAGGCATGCACCACCATACCCAGCTCCATACAGGTCTTTTTTAAAGGAACATCAGTTTCCTGTGCAGGTTTCCCTCGCGTTTGTCTCTGCCTAGCATTTTGGCTAGAGTCCCTTCCCCAGCTGAGGGATCAGACAGGCCCTGAGGAAAGACTTCCTCTCCAAAAGTCAGGTGGTAGACGTCCTCCCTCCACCAAGGGCAAGGGCTTCGGGACAGGAAGCAGAGCACCTGGCCAGAGGCCTTTCCTCTCCGTGACCTTCCAGGCTGTCAGGAAGCACCACGGCTCTTCCTCTATGAGGACCTTGGCTTTTGGTGCTTAGAAGCTTGAAAGATTTTTTCTTTACTTTGGAGTTCAGGAATGTTATCAGACTACACCTGGCTGTGAGCTGGTTCAATGGGTCTTCTCCCTTTTTCCCTCCTCCTGTGCAGGTCCTGCCCGCTGACCCCGAGGGGCCTAGACCTGCCCCGCAAGGCTTCCCCGAGACTCCTCCTGCTTCCTGTGGTCTCCGCCTTCAGGGCCAGGACTCAGGAAGTTCTTCTACTTTGTCTTAAGAGCAACAAATTGCTTGTGATTCATCTACTGACTTTTCAAAAGTTAAATTCAAGGAAGACACTGTAGGTGGTACCAGAACCTCCCGAAGGTGGGATCTGTTTATGGACAGGCACCTGCTGCTCACCCTCCGGGCCGCGGTCTTTCTTCCTTCCCAGCCTCCGGGGCCGTCGGGTGGGGCGACCTTCCTTTACAGCGTCTTCTGCAGAAGGGTTCCTGGGTGTCCCGGCCGCTCAGGCACCTCCACAGCCGGTCCTCATCCCCGCAGGTGCAGCCTGCCTCAGCCTCTAAGGCGGGGAGGCAACAAGACTGCCCTAATGGTGGTTTCAGGCCCCAGCCCACCGCACCCCAGGCCTGCAGCCTGTCTCCACGGCTGTTCACATCCTTCCTTTACTTCCTGCTCCAATACCGGGGTTTCCTGGACACGCACGCTTCAGCATCTCTTGCTTACTGTTCATTTCGAGAATCTGATGGTGTCTGATAACACTGACCCTCTGCGGTCCCCATTCTCAAAAGGACAGACACCCCAATTTAAGACGGTGCAGTCATCCTTATACACATTACATCTGTGTGCCCTTTCCTCAACTATTTTTTTTTCTTCTTTTCTTGAGGTATAATATACAGAAAAGTATACTTACATATTTTTTTTTTTTAGGATTTTCAAACTTCGCAGCTAAAAAGCAGAATTAGGAATGTGAGCATTGGAAGCCTGGCAAGGGCCCCTCTGAATGGAGAGACACTGACAGTACAGTTCCTCACCGGGAGGAACCTGGAAGCCCTATCTGTTATTTCCGGTAGTGTCCAGCCCTTTAAGAAGGAGCCTGCCCTGTGAAGAAGAATGCAGGCTCCTCACAATCCCCCGTGATGACAAAGCTTAGTCATCCGGTCGTGTTCCTGAGAACACCTCAGAACTCTGGCCAGCGTCTCCTACGAAGCCCTGATGAACTCTCTCTTCTCTGCGGGCAGTGACACCTACAGCTTACACTTCACAGGGGGCCGCGTCATTCTGTATGGAATGCTTCAAACCTTTGTTTACCATTAGGCAGAAAGCCAGCGGCTCAAGCACCTTTGGGGTCCATCAGCATCACCCAGGGGGTTTGTTTCACATGCAGAATCCTAGGTCCCATCCCCCAAAACCGAAGCAAGGGGACAGACCGGGGTGAGGCTGCCCAGGGTGGCTGGACCACACCTGGGAGGATGCAGCATTCGAAGGGACAGAAACGGCAAAGGCTGGGCTGGGGATGTAGCTCAGCGGCACAGCACCTGCCTGGCAGGTGGGAGGCCGTGAGTTCAATTTCCGGTACCAAAAAGAAAATAGTAAAAAAAAAAAAAAAGCCCCTTAAAAAGAAACAGCAAAGGCTATATAGCCAGTCCTACTTCCTATGCGTTGTTTTTTAATCACTAAGCAGAGAAAATGGGCAGAAATTCACAGACAAGGAACTAAAATAGCGAACATTTCTTAAAGTGTTCAACTTTTCTAGTAAGCAAAGAGACAGGAAATCAAAATCGTACCGAGACCACGCAGCACCCTCAGTCTCCGGAAAATGGTGGAGCCGGGGGCCGTATGACAGCTGTGTGTGCTTTCTGCTCAGTTTTGCTGTGAATTTAAAACTGCTCAAAAACCATAAAATCTGTTTTTGGTTATTACTTATTTTATTTTAGTTAGTTAATTTCTTTTTAATTTCTTGCAGTGTTGGGGATTAAACCCAAGGTCTTGTGCATCTTAATTTAATCATGTGCTTTTTCACGGAGCTACATCCCCAGCCCGAAGTCCATTTTTAAAAATCGTATTCTCGCGGGGCCTGGAGGCACACGCCTATAATCCCGGCACTCCGGGAAGCTGGGGGAGGAGGATCGCCAATTCAAGAACAGCCTGGGCAGTTCAGCAATGCAGAGACTGTCTGGAAATGAAAAGCAAGCGAAGGGCTGGGGACGCAGCCCTTCTCGGTGGCGAAGGCCCCGGGTTCAGCCCCCAGTGCTGCCAACAAAACAGCACTCATCCCTGTGAACAGAAAGGAACGAATGTCCCGCTCCCAGTGAATTCACTCTAACAAAATGAACCTGGGCGCTAATCACCAGCTCCCGCGGCTGGGGGTGACAGTGGGCCCAGGTCCCCGCACTGCAGGCTGAGATTTTGTTTTCAGGTAAAATACACGAGGTCCAACAGTCAAAAGCCCTCTCCTCTTCGGAGCAAGTTCCTGTCCGCCGCCCACTCCACGCTCACGGCCTCGCTTCGCCCCTGCTCTGACGCATTTCTGTCGTTACCGCTTCTTGTTTGGATGTGGCGTTTTGCAGCGCTGGACACTGAACCCCCTGGCCTCACACAAGCTAGGCGGACGCCCACCGCGGAGCCACACCTCCACCCGTTTTGACGTCTTCCTAAAGCGGAACACGGCGCGCATCATTTGAGTTCCGAGAACTCTTCCG